TAAGTCAATCACAGAAGGACAAACATTGTATTAGTATGCTATCGTAAAATGTCAAGGAAAGGTTTATATATGAAACGAAACTTTCTTTTTTGGTTACTTGGGGTGGGAGGGGAAAGGAGGGAACACTGCTAGATAGGTTGATTTGGGTGAAGGGAAGGGCAATATACCAAATGTGAGTGATCAACACGGTGGCATTGAGGAAGAGGAAGACAGAGAGAGGCACATGGGAGTTACAGACAACAAAGATGAACCCTTTTGCATATACAGTACTACATTGTCAGTGATGGCAAACATTGATCTATGGGTGGATAGATGGGTGGACAGGCTGAATGATCAAGTTTGTCTATACAGGGGAGAGTGTGCCCATGACCATGTATAGGGTTGGCAGACTATGTTTCTACAGATGTATTTGTGTGTGCTATGAGAATGGCCAGGTATATAGTAGAGCTGACAAGGGACAAGGTTGTAGTCACTTCTTGGCCACAGCCAGCTACCCAGAGGGAGCAAGTAGTTGGACCTGTGGGCCTGGGACCATAGTCGCAGGGGACATCAAGCTCAATTGGCATAACATACTACCCCAAACATTGTTCCACATCCTACTTTGGTGAGTAGTAACTGGAATCTTAAAAGCTTGCAAGCAGCCATCTACATGCAATGATGGGTCTCACCTCATCCAGAGCAAAGAAGAATGAAGTAAACCACACATGGAAACAGTTTGTCCAAGGGACTGGTAGACCATGTGATCCTCAACCTATGTGACCATGAGACCAGAACTAGACGGTACCTAACTACCACTGTCAGCCACTCGGAGGGGCATCTATGTAGGAGATCCTGGATAGAGTGGGAGAACAATGTGGAACAAAACTCAAAATCATAAATAAAAAAAAAATGAAAAAGAGAGACCAGGTTTGCTGGTCGGATGGAGCCTGGTGTAACCCCTGAGACTATGACCCCTAGCTGCCCTTCAGGTCTGGAACTGAACTCACTCCTGTGGCTTCCAGCCAAATAATAGACAGGCATATGGGCTGAACATTTACATTAGGTAGATAAACTCTGGAGATACTCATCATGGGAGAATAGAAGGGCTGTGTATGCACAGGGAGACAGCTCAGGGGGCAGAAGTGCATGGGAGGGAAGGACACTGGGAAGCGGTAACTATGGGGAGGAAGTGAGAAGAGAGCTGTTACATTGTGGGAAATTGCAGTCAATGCCATGAGACAAAATGTGTATGAACTGCTGTATGGAAAATGAATTTGCTCTGTAAACTTGCATCAAAATCACAATAAAATTTTTTTTAAAAAATTGTAGGTAAATTGAAAGAGGTGTGTACAGTTCTTACTTAGCCTCGTGTTAATGCAAGAAAGGAGCTCTGGTGGCACTGTGGTTCGAGCATTGGGCTGCCTACCAAAAGGTCAACAGATCAAACCCACCAGGTGCTCCACAGGAGAAAGATGAAGCAGTCTACGTCCATAAAGACTTACAGCCCTGGAAATCCTATGGGGGCAGTTCTGCTCTGTCCTATAGGGTCTCTATGAGTCGAAAATCGACTCAATGACAGTAGGTTAGGTTAGTGCAAGAAAATCCTTGAAGGCTTTTCAGTGATTTAAAAGCTGCACATGCAACAAGTGATGGTGGTTGGAATAAATTTGCTGTGAGTGGGAGCTCTGGTAGCATAGTGCCTAAGGCCCTTGACTGCTAACCAGAAGGCTGGAGGTTCAAACCCACCCGCCACTCCTCAGAAGGAAGATGAGGCAATCTACTTCCATAGCGATACTGCCTCGGAAACCCAAAGAGGGGTCGCTATGAGTCAGTCCAACTAGAAGGCATATAACAACAACAACAGGGGTTGGTCCATTCATTTCAAAGTGAGGGCAGATTTACATGACACTAAAGGACAGGTAGGAGTTATCACCTGAAGAGTGCCTGTGTAGTCCCTGAATTCGGTGGCTGTGACTACGTCTCAGTCCTCTGTGTGCCCAGGGCACACAGGTACACCTGGCACACAGCCGGCACCTTGGGTTCAGTGACTGAGTCATGGTTCTGTGTTCAGCACTTCCCTGCAGTCGGTTGCTTTTGACAGATGTGATTAATGAATTTGTAAATATTTACCTCCCTGTCCATATAAGGAGCTCTGGTGTGGTGGTGTAGGAGTTAAAGTATTCAGCCGCTAACTAAAAAGGTCAGCTGTTCAAACCCACTAGCTGCTCTCTAGGAGAAAGATAAGGCAGTTTGCTTTCCGTAAAGGCTTGGAAACCCCATGGGGCAGTCCTGCTCTGCCCTAAGGGTCTCTGTGGGTTGGAATCAACTTGGTGGCAGTGGGTTTGGTTTGGGGTATGTACATATGAAGAAGTTCCTGGGTTGCACAATTGGTTAAGCACTTGACTACTAGCTGGAAGGTGGGCAGTTCAAACCCACTCAGAAACACCTCAGAAGACAGGCCTGGCGATCTGCTTCTGATGGGTCACAGCCATGAAAGCCCATGGGGCAGATCTGCTCTGCACACATGAGTCAGATCGGACTTGACAGCCACTGCCAACTACAGCAACGTGACAGTGGGAGTGAAGCACTGCAAGATGACACTGACTGGTCTTTTCCATGTACGTCTTCGTGCTTTCTCCCCAGGGAGATAAACATCATCAATGAAAAAGCAGCCGAGAAAAGGAAGACAAACCACACTTTGCTCCCACCTTCTACCTTCACTGGAGACCCCGTTGACAAGAAGCTCAGAGGAAGCCAACACAAAGAGGCAGAATTTCTTTTAAGGTTTGTTCAGTCCAAAACCATGGAGAAACTAGACCTGCGTCCAGTTTAAGAATGCCTAGTTCCTAAACTGACAGCAGTTACTCTAGAGCCCAGACGAGAACTTGAAGGGGCCGAGAGCCTACACTAGTGGTGATGAATGAAGCGTTACGGGTAGAGACAGAATGGTGACCCAGTGCGAAGTATGTCACTGGTGTCATTAAACTGTTTGTGTACAACTTGTGAATGGATGTATGCTTGGTTGTGTATATTGCCAGTAAAAATAGATAAAATATGATTAAGAAAGAATTCCTAGTACGTAGGAAAAAGCACAAAGAAGTTTACCTGCAGTCTGGTGTCACGAGGTTGTGTTCAGGCCACTCCATTCATGCAGATACTCAACTCCCATAGTTCTTCTATTATTATTGCCACACGTCGGGCTAAGTACTTGAAGGACTATACGAGTTGGAACACAATGTGTATGCACTGCTGAATGGAAAACAAATTTGCTCTGTAAACTCTCACCCAAATCACAATTTACAAAAACAACTGTGCCAGTCAGAGCTCTTTGGTTGCAAGTCCTGGGAAGCCAGCTCAAACTTGCTTAGGCAGAAGTAGAATCTAGGGGCTTAAGTAACTGGGAAGGTCACAGACAGGCTGGCTACAGGCACATTTGGACCTAGGGCATCAATGCTATTTTCTCATTCTTTCTCTCAACCCTCTTTCCCTCTGTGTGCTGGCTTCTTTTTCAAACTGCCTCTGCCCTCAGAGAAGGAGAGAGGCCCATGGACAGCCCAAGCCCGTCCCCTTATAGACTATGATCAAAAGGAGAAGGACACCCCCTCTCAGCCCCTATAAACCAAGCCTCATAGGAGTCACTGTTTGCTCTGTTCATCCATCTGGACCAGTCACTGTGTTCAGGAGGAAGCAGTGCTATGACTGGCTAACTAGGCCTGAGTGGCTCTCTGGCTGGGGACAGTGGGGCTCAGTCCATGGCATGAGTGATTTCCTATCAGATGGGAACAGCATGCCCACTTTCTTTTATTTGTA